CTGTTGGCTTCTGAGCACTCAGTTCCGGGCCTGCTCGCCCGGGTTCCCACCTGTCTCTGTTGGACTCTGAGCACTCAGTTCCGGGCATGCTCGCCTGGGTTCCACCTATGTCTGTTGGGCTCTGAGCACTCACCTCTGGGCCTGCTTGCCCGGGTTCCCGCCTGTCTCTGTTGGGCTCTGAGCACTCAGTTCCAGGCCTGCTCTCCTAGGTTCCCGCCTGTCTCTGCTGGGCTCTGAGCACTCAGTTCCGGGCATGCTCGCCCAGGTTCCCACCTGTCTCTTTTGGGCTCTGAGCACTCAGCTCTGGGCATGCTCGCCCAGGTTCCACCTGTGTTCCCGAACAGTGAGGCTGTTCCCTTAGGTACACAGGTAACAAGGAAGCCAGCGGGAGCCATGGGGAGCCCTCACTCCTGCCTGCTGTGCATGAGGCTCAGTGGAGGCCAAGCATGGAGCACAGACAAGGAGCACGTGGGCTCGTTCCCTGTGACAGCTGTGATGGTGCCCGTGTCCTTTCCCCCGCAGGATGGGAGAGCTGCGTCGGCTGTGGTGGTCTGCTCCTTCCTGTGCTTCTGCCGTCTCTTCACCACCGCCGAGGCTGCTGTGTACATGTTCAGCATGAAGCGCTGCCCGCCGGGCATCTGGCCATCCCACAAAAGGTACGTGTGTATGCTCCTCACCATGCTGAGTGCAGGGTCACCCAGGGCTGGGTCTCCCTGGCTGATTGAGGGTGGTCTTACAGGCGCAGGAGCTTGGCCACGAGCGTGGCTAAGCAGAAGTGTGGAGAAGTGAGTAGTAGAGGCACTTTAAATGGAGGAAACTCCCTAGGAGGAGCATTGTCATCCCGCGGCCGGCTCCCCCAGACTCTACTCACTGTCATGTGCACCCCCTCACAGGCCCCACGAAGTGGTCTTGACAAGATCTGTTGTAGCCGTGAGGGAGTCTGAGGGCATACACTCACTATCATGCGTGCCCCGACACGGGCCCCACATGGTTGTGACAAGGCTTGTTGTTCGGATGAGGAAGTCTGAGGTTGAGCATAGTGAAGGGGTCGGAAGTTAAACCCTGGGTGAGACTTCTGAGCCTGTGGTGGCTGCCAGTTCATAGGGCTCTGGTATTCCCAGTGAGTGTGGCCAGGAAGCTTGGTCTGACCCTGGTATTGCCACTTGCTCTCTGGGCTCAAGGGGCGGCCCCTCGACAGAAGTGGCTGTCATCACACAGTCTCTGCTCACACACGGAACCCTGCTGTGTGGTAGCTGTTGTGTATGAACACACTAGTGAGCTCTGATGGAAACATAAGGGGTTAGATTGTCCATGTCATGATCAGTCACGTAGTGTGGGGTCATACAAAAACCTCCCGCTTTCTGTTGCTCTGCGTCAGCTAGAAGTCGACTCTAGAGTACGCGTGTGACATGGTGTGCCGAATGGCCTTGCAGGTAATAGAGTACATATGTGACATGGTGTGCTGAGTGGCCTTGCATATTCATAGAGTACGCATGTGACATGGTGTGCTAAGCGGCCTTGCAGCAGCATAGAGTACATGTGTGACAGGGTGTGCCGAATGGCCTTGTAGGTATATCGAGTACATGTGTGATTTCTCAGGGCTGTGACTAGCCAGGGCCGCCCACCCCCACATCACCCTGCACTGCAGCCACTCTATTCACCAAGTGCTGTGGCTCCTCGTGTCCACTCTTGGCCACTCTGTCCAGTCCCTGGTAGCGAGGGTGATCTTTCTGAGGTTCAGGTCTGAGGAGTCACTTCCCTCCACAAGCCCTTCTCAGCGTGCTTGGTCTTAATGATGACTCAGGGGCGGAGGCTGGACTCGTTCCTTCTGAAAGAGCGTGAGCCTGGTCCTTGACCAGAGCAGAGCCCCCAGAGTGTGTGGAACCAAAGTGGACGTGGATGCTGCCTCCTCCCAACCCCCAGCACCCTGTGGGGAAGAGAGAGATCAGTGATCTAAGCAAGGGAAAGAGAGAAGGTCCAAATGACTGATCTCAGGAATGGAAGGGGATGTGACTACAGACCCCACAGACGTAAAGGGTGATAAAGGAATTCTGTGAGCTGCTCTGTGCCCATAAATTCAACAATGCAGACGACAGGGGACTTATTCCTTGAAAGACACAAAGTGCTAAAACTTACTCTATTATAAATAGATAGCTTGAATAATCCTGTATCTATTTTAAAATGGAAATTATGGTTAAGAACCTTCTGAAAAAGAAAACCCTAGGTACATATGAATTCTATCAAACATTTAAGGAAGAAATCATATAACATTCTGTTCACTCTCTTCCAGAAAATAGAAGAGGTGTGAACACTTCCCAGAGCAAATACAAAAATGCTTCTCCAGGTAGTGGGTTTAGCAGGCCCTCAAGTATAAGGTCCATATACCATAATGATTTAATTCTGTATTCTAGCAGTGGACTATTGGTCTGAGAAATTTTTTTTTTTAATTCCATTTACAATATGAAAAATCCATTGCTGTCGAGTCGATTCCAACTCATAGCAAACCTGTAGACAGAGTACAACTGCCCATGGGATTTCCAAGGCTGTAATCTTTATGGAAGCAGACTGCCACATTTTTCTTCCATGGAGTAGCTGGTGGGTTCAAACAGCCGACCTTTCAGTTAGCAGCTGAACACTTAACTAGGCTTTTACTATTAGGCACCTTAAAAGTCTTCCAGTCTCCACCCATTACCCAATTCCAAAACCACTTCCACATTGTAGGTATTTGTTAGAGCAGCACCCCACTCCCAGTACCAAATTCTGTCTTAGTTATCTAGTGCTGATATAACGGGAATACTGCAAGTGGATGGTTTTAACAAACTGAACTTTATTTTCTCACAGTTTAGGAGGCTAAAAGTCTGAATTCAGAGTGCCAACTCAAGGGGAAGGCTTTCTCTCTCTGTCAGCTCTGGGGGAAGATCCTTGTCCCTTCAGCTTCTATTTCTTGGTTCCTAAGGAGATCTCCATGTGTCTTGGCATCAGTCTTCTCCCATCTGTGCTTGCTCACTTACTTGTTTAATCTCTTCTGTATTTCAAAGAGGTCGACTCAAGACACACCCTATCTAATCCTGTCTTATTGTATAAGAAAGACAACCCATTCCGAAATGGGATTATAACCACAGGCGTAGAGGTTAGGAATTACAACACATATTTTTGGAGGACACCATTCAATCCCTAACATACATAGAGTACGCATGTGGCATAATGTCAAATGGGCTTCCTGATTCATAGAGTATGCATGTGACATGGCGTGCTGAATGGCCTTGCAGGTACATAGAGTACACATGTGACATGGTGTGCTGAATGGCCTTGCAGGTACATAGAGTGCACAT